TCTTTTTTTGGGGGGGGAGGGGTTTGAGGCAGGGTTTCTCTGTAAAGGGTTATTCTTAACAGGGCTAACCTACAAAAGGTCAAGAACTTCATAGTGCCAGGCTGTGGTGGCACACACCTTTAATCCCAGCACCTGGGAGGCAGAGGTAGGCAGATTTCTGAATTTGAGGTCAGCTTGGTTTATTGAGCAAGTTCCAAGACAGCCAAGAATACACCAAGAAACCCTGTCTGGAAAAACAAAACACACCAAAACCAACCACAAAAACAAACAAATGCCAAAACTTCTTATAAGTATAGCTAATCGAAACTATACCTTCACAGCTCCTTTTAAAATGCAAGCACAGCCTACAAAATGAACATGGTAGGTAAGATACATACACACTTGTGCCATTGGGGGTGAGGGAACGTTGCTCAGGTGGAATCCCAGCACCAGGAATGGTGATACAGACATGCATGTACATGTTATTACAGGACTTATGAGGTAGAGGAAGGAAAATAGGAAGGTCATCCTTTGGCTATATACAGTAAGTCTAAGGCTAGCTTGGATACATAAGACCTTAACTCAAGCAAGCAAGGCAACCCATTTTGTGTCAAAGCTGTATTAAAGTTATTACAATGCCTATTATGAAACTATCATCTACTCATGATTCAGTAAACTGACATAGAATTTACTTTTTTTTTTCAAGACAGGGTTTTTCTGTGTAGCTTTGGAGACCAGGCTGGCATCGAACTCAGAGATCTGCCTGCCTCTGCCTCCCAAGTGCTGGGATTAAGGGCGTGCACCACCAACACCTGGCTAAAATTTACTTCTTTCAGATGACTTTAGAACCCCAAGGCATACATACCACAGGAACTCCCATAGAGCAGAGATCCTAAAGCAAAGGTAGCCTGGGCCTGCTCTGTAATCTCAGCATTTAGGAGGGGGAAGGAGACCCTGTTTATGGGGAAGGAGGATGAGGAGCAAAGATATGGGAGACTGCCAAAATTCCATTCTTTGAAAGGCCAAGAAGGGATAAAAAGGTGGAAAACTCCACTCAACTGATATTAAGAGGAAGCTGACTGTTAGCTCTCATCTACACTACACATAGACCTAAAATTTACCATAGGCCAGGTTGGCCTATTGCCTCAGCTTCCTGAGTGCTAGTTTTATAGGCACGAGCTCAATGTTCCACATGAAGAAGTATTTTTCAAATAAATATTGACAGGAAATCAACTGTCAGGAAATAAACTTTGAGGACACATATCCTGATTAAAAAAAAAAAACACAAAAAAAAACAAAACTAGGGGGCTAGAAAGAATGCTCAGAGGCTAAGAGCATATACTACTCTTTCAGAAGATATAAATTCAGTTCTCTGACAGGTGGCTCCCACATCAATGGCCACCATAGGTGTACAAAAATACATCTCTTTGTTTTCAGACGGGGTCTCTCTATGTAGCTCTGGCTGTCCTGTAACTCCACTAAGTAGACAAGGCTAGACTCTAACCTAAGTGATATACCAACCTCTGCCTCCCGAGTGCTGGGATTAAAGACCTCTGCCACCATATCAGGCATTTAAAAAATGTGTAGGGCTTGGAGAGATGGCTCAGCAGTTAAGAGCACACCAGAGGACCTGGGTTCAATTCCCAGCACCCACAAGACAGTTCCAGAGGATCTGACACCCTCACACAGACATACATGCAGGCAAAACACCAATGCACATAAAATAATGTGCTTTGAAATGTTTTGAGACAGGGTCTCACTACACAGCTCTGGGTGTTCTATTACTTCTCATAGAGATCAGCTTGCCTCTGCCTCATGAGTGCTGGGATTAAAGGCTTGAGCCATCATGCCTGGCAAAAATAAATCTTAAAAATGTAATGTGAACTATACATCATTGTAGGATTTACCTGAAAATACTCCCTCCTCTAAATACACAATTTTCTTTCTTTCTTGATTGTTTGAGACCAAGGTTTCTCTGTGTAGCCCTAGCTGTCTTGGAACTCACTCTTTAGATCAGGCTAGCCTTGAACTCACAAAGATCCACCCGCCTCTGCCTCCCAAGTGTTGGGATTAAAGGTGGCTCAAATGCACACACAATCTTCAAAATTCAAATTTATTTCTTGTGAGCATGCCAGTGCACAGAAGTTGATGTCAGGGCATCTTCCTCTATTCTCTCCACCTTAGTCTTGAAGACAGGGTCTCTCAACGAGCCTGGAGCTCATAGACCGGCTTGTGAGTTGTGAGATCTTCCCTTCTCCCCACCTTTTTGGGTGGGCCCTGACAATCTGAACTCAGGCTTATTATTCTTTTTTTGGTTTTTTGAGACAGGGTTTCTCTGTGTAACAGCCTTAGCTATCCTGGTACTAGCTCTCTAGACCAGGCTGGCTTGGAACTCACAGAGATCCACCTGCCTCTGCCTCCCTAGTGAGTGCTGGGATTAAATGAGAGTGCTACCGCCTGGGGATGAGGGGATTCTCATTCTTTTTTGTTTGTTTTTCGAGACAGGGTTTCTCTGTGTAGCTTTGGAGCCTATCCTGGCACTCGAGCTGCAGAGCAGGCTTGCCTCAAACTCACAGAGATCCACCTGCCTCTGCCTCCCGAGTGCTGGGATTAAAGGCCACCAACGCCCGGCTCAGGTTCTCATTCTTACACATCAAGCTTTTTACCAACTGAGCCCTCTCCAAGCCCAAGCACTCCAATCTGCCTAACTTTAAGTTTGCAGTCCTGAGCTCAGCCATTCCCTTAGCGTCTACATGGACATTTGCACACTTGTACGATGGCTGGCAGGATTTTTTTACCGAGGGGGAGTGGGGTGGACATATAGCTCTGTGGCAGATAAACTCTGAATATCCCAGGCCCTGGGTTCCCTAGCCAGCACCACATACTGAAAGAAATGAACAAGCGAATGAATGAATGAATAAGGTGCTGCTTATTCCAAAAGCGGGTTTTTTTTTTTTTTTTTTTTTTTGGTTTTTCGAGGCAGGGTTTCTCTGTGTAGTTTTGGAGCCTCTCATGGCACTCGCTCTGTAGACCAGGCTGGCTTGAACTCACAGAGATCCGCCTGCCTCTCCCTCCCGAGTGCTGGGATTAAAGGAGTTCGCCACCAACGCCCGGCCAAAAGCGGGTTTTTTCTTTTCTTTTCTTTTTTTGTTTTGTCTGTACTGCAGCCCATCTATCCCAGACACAACTTCATTACTTCAAGGGTACAAAAAGTTGGTTAACCTCTCCATTTTCAGTCTTACCAATGAAACAGGGAGGCCCCCACAGTCCCAAACAGTGGCTATTCCAGAACAAAAGATTTTACTTCGTACATCATACTAAAAGTAGTAAGCTGTTCTCTTTTTTGTGCGCATTTGGATGAATCACGACGGTTCAATGACAGCTTCCAAGGTAACAAAACCTCTCCAGGCCTCTCACAGCTGCGGGCCACTCACTTAAGGTAAGGGCAGCAGGTTCGTCCATGTGCCCTAGATGCTGAACGAGGAGAGGTAGGGACTTCTAGCTGTTCACTATCGGCTCACAACTGTTTATAATCACTAAATCCCGTGTAATCGGAACCCCAATTTCCAAGTGTCAGATTCCCAGTCACCACAAAAAAAAGGGGGGGGAGAGAGATAGAGAGAGCGAGAGAGATAGAGAGAAAGGGGGAGGGGAGACATATGCATCTCGAGCCGCAGTGAGACTCGGTGACACTGTCCGCGCCCGCCTCCCCTGCACAGTCGCGCGGGCCCCTTTCCCGGGCGCACGCGGCTGCCGTGTTCCCCGAAGGACTGCCGGGGTAATCGGTCACCGGATCCCTC